GAACAAATTCGGTTGATAGAATTAATCCAACAATATAAGAAAATGCGTTAATTTATTTATCTTCTAGTATGTATTTTCTACTCTATTATTCACGATCAGAGAATATCTACTCTTCTCACTTCGTAACTCCTTTCTGTTCTAATGGCACAGAATAAAAATATCGTTCTCAATCAACTTAAAGTAGATAAAAAATAAATTGTTTCTACCGTAAAATACGTCCTAGCAAAATAGTAATAATTGAAGAGCGGCGAAAGAGGAGATTGCTCTTTTGTACGATATCTGATTGATAATAGGTGGATTAAGAGCCAAAACATTCAATTGTATTAGACAGGTCTGTGCGTCTGTCACACATATCATTAATTTCTCCCGTTAATTTCCTGAAGATAAAGAACGAAGTTGTGCCCAAAATATCTTATATCTCTTTCTGCTTTCAGCAACCGCGCAAATTGTCAGATCAATTACTGGTGATTTTACGTTTTACCGAACTTGGCCCGAGAACTGAATGTGTGTGTGTGTACCACATGAACGCGATTGGGATATGCTTAATTAGCTCATTCTTGCCGAAGAACGCGCTAATAACTACTATAATATACGTTATATAATTTGTCAACTTATCGACTAACCCCCCTTCCCCGCTGCCATATTTAGTGTAAGAAAGTGACACGCTCTTCTTACAATTTTCACTTCGTATCTGCGCTACATTACCATACGTACAGCGCTTCGTTTCTTATCTATTTTCTTTTTTTTATATGTACATATGTTTATACGTATATATATATATCTTCATCACTATATACGTTTATCTACATCAAAGTATGTTATTCTTATTCAGAACTTTTCTCGTACTTTATTATTATTATAGTAGGAACCATTTTACGGCTTACCGAATCATACACACGCGCATTTGTCAATTTTCCGGTCGCTAACTTTTCTCTCGCAAAAACAGAAGATGTTGCGCTAAAAATACCGCTTGCTCGCGAACATTCATCGGGTTGTTCGAAAGCGATGGTCTACTAAAGAGCCGAACGTTTAAACTCATCTAAAAGCCTGTGACGATTTCGAAGATGACCGACTCTATTTCTAAACTTGCGTTTAGACAGGCGCAACATTGTTGATAACATGTGTTGACTTTAAAATCTCCTTTGAGAAGTCACTCTAAACCCCACATCTCTACGTTCTGAACTTACAAGTATGTCATGGATTTAAAAATACTAGAAAAAAGGATATTAATCTAATTTTGCTACACCACAACAACGTTGAAAACGGAAGATCATGTCTCCGCACGGCAGTAAAGATAAAAAAAGAAGAGCGAAAATATAGATGCGAGATTTATTTTCCTTATCAAACGATTTCTTTTTTCCCAATGACTTCCTTCTTTTTTTTCCTCTACGTTAAGTAATAAATCGCCATTGCATTTAAACGAAAATAAACTCAACTACACATGTTGTTCCGTATCAAAGAAATATTCCCAATATCGAAAAAGTCGTTGCGCATGTAATCCGTGTGATTAACAAGCGCTTGAAATACTTTACATTGTCATTATCAGGGAATTTTCATTATTTTTCGGGTTTTTCGCGGCTCCGCCGTTGTTAACGATTACGCTGCTTATCACGAAGTCGCAAAAACTACTCGTACGAAGTTGGAAGTGCCAGAAGGTTTACTATCGATCCCTCGTCGGGGGACCCCTCGTCGCATATCAATCTCTCTTGATCGTGATTAATTCTTGATTCGATTCTATTCGAGCCTTTCTCAAAGTGACAGTTTCTACATGTCCTCTCTTTTAGCCATTCCTATACAATAGTATAATACATTCTTTCTATTTATACATGAATGCGCGCGTTTATAGAAAAATTGGATACCATATTTCAATCATTCCCGTACACCGAACAGAAATTATTATTGACACATCATATTACCGCAAACAGTGTTTGTTTCTAGTAAACACAACTTGATAACAAACATCGAAGAGTTGCTAAACGGTTGAAAAACATTTGCAGTTAGTTACATATATATCAATACTATAAAAAAACAGTAAACAATTTTTCCACTCGAATCAGCTTTCAGGTAAGAAAGAGCGGTTATTTCTTCTGAATCCTTCACGAGAAGCGAAAGATCAACGGTCGGAACATGAGAAACCCTGTGCTAAATCCCCCGATAGAAACATTTATTGTGACTTACGTGAAATGGATCTTAAAGAGAGCGCGTCTGCAAACGATGCAAACGTTCGCATCTGACTAAAAAAAAAACCTAACTGAGCACAACTTCGTCTTTCAGGAAATTCTGACGAGAAGAATTCGACGTTGTAAACAATCGTAGTATGGTTGGACCTATCCAATATTTTCGGATCAGACTTCATGATTTGCGATGATTTGCTCTTACCCGAGCTTGCTACGACCTCAAATTTGTAGAACTCCATGTTTAATAAATTGCTGTGCGATAGGAAAAGAAGTTTTCTCTTCTTGAAGCGATTTAGTGTGTCACCGTTGCATTACCGTGCGCATTGCCAATGGACGGACAGTATCGATTTCCATTTGTTCTCCTTTAAGCCATCAGAAGCTCAGAGAAGAATACCGGAAGAAGACATCTAATGGTATCTACTGTCACTCCGCGTGTTCCCTAACTCTCTTTCTCTTTCTCTTTCTCTCTCTCTTTCTCTCTCTCTTTCTCTTTCTCTCTCTCTCTCTCTCTCTCTCTCTCTCTCTCTCTCTCTCTCTCTCTCTCTCTCTCTCTCTCTCTCTCTCTCTTTCCCTTTCTCTGTGTATCCAATCTTTCTATAAATCTAAACACAATACGTATGTTTCCCTCAAAATTTACGAGTAATTATATATACAATAATAAAATATAATAATAATATGTATGAGCCCGTTCTAAATTGGTTTGTCATTTTTTTTTGTTTTTAGAACTTCAGAAAATAAACACAGCAGAAACACATTTGTTTCATTGTTATTATTTAGCATCGGTATCAGTCGCGCATTAAAGCCGACTGTTATCGTTTCGCATTTCAGCACTGTATACTCATTTTACTGAGATTCTTCTTAGTATGTTCTATCACCTATTGTGTGCACTGAGGTAGATGGATGGAATATCTGTACGATATATGCATGTTTTTCTTTGTATATGTGTACACGTATGTATTTATATGTGTAGTATGTACGATAGGTATGTGTGTATGTACATCTACATATGCATATAAAAAACATATATGTGTGAAAATGAGTGACGCTTACAAACATTTCACGCATATGTGTATGCATATTTATTGTAGACTCTAAATATTCAACGGTGCGTACTTGCCATTGGAGTTATAATTCGACGCGATCAGCAAGTCCGTTCACGCGTGGTCCACTTTATGAGCCAACATGCGTGACAACAACAAACAAAAACAAAATGCGGTTAAAACCTCAGATATAGTTTATGTTCAGCGTATCTCTTTCTCTGTAGGAAAAAAAACCGATTCGAGAACAGATTTCGAGAACTCTTTAATAAGAGATGTTTTAAAAAATGGTCTTAATTTGTATATATTATTGTAAAGACAAAATTTGTAAAAGAATAACGAGAAACGCGAATAACATACAACCAGAAACAAGATAACGAAACTTAGAAATTTATTCTGCTCCGGTGCTTTCAGATTTAATTATTACTTCCGGTTCCTCGTTATCGCTATACTCGTCCTCTTCCGCGCCTGACGATTCTTCCTCCGCCATATCTACTAAACCGCTATGTCTATCGTGCATAGCAGTCTCTTGCCTGTCCTCGTGAACAACTCCAGAGCCTCGACCTTCGTCTCTCTTAATCATGGGATAGTCCTCTAGACTCCTTTTATCCAAAACACTCATTTGTTGTGCGATCTTCGCAGCGGCCACTTGTTCCGGAGTGAATCCCATTGTCGTTAGCGAGTTCTCTGCAATGTACTGCAAGTACGTGTCTAAAAGGGCCGAGCCACCGGCGATGGCGCTTGCATTGGGACCCGGATGATGACCGGACGGATGCAATGGCGCCATGTTGGGCTCACGGTTACCGTGCATTGTATCAAGGGACTTGGCGGCAATTGCCGCAGCTGTCGAGCTGTTCTTGCTGTTGCTGTTACCGCTGCTGCTTACCTTGGTGATCACGGTATTGTTATTGGGCGTTGGTGAACCGTACCTGAGACTAAGTGGTAAAGTAAGATCTTCTGGATCATCACCACCGCAGACGCTGCTACCGGCTTCGGACGGAGCGCCACCCCGAGATAGTTCTAATCTCATGTCACTTCTCCGTGGTGCTGTTGGGCTGGCACGTGCTCGTAATTCCGCTGCGCTCATCTTGATTCCGGCTTTCGCCAATAAACGGGATGCCAATTCGGGATCAAACGGACTCGGCATTTGCAACACAGGGAGATCCTTTGTGCTGATTCCACGATGTTGCCTCGACATGTGAGAGTGCAGCGAATTTCTGGATTTTGCGACTGTGCCACACAATACACAACGATAACCAGGGCAGACCGTGTGTTTATCTTCCAAGTGCGTGCGTAACGTGTGCGCCGAGCGATACATTTTGCCGCATTTTGGACAAGGTCTAGGATCGGTGGCACGTACACGCATCATCTCTAGAGTCCGTCGTGCGCCTGAAAATACATGACGGATGAGTAAAGAAACGTTCATATATCATCAAAACGAATAATGAAGTTCGACCAGCGTGCGATATGACGATATAAATCGCACAAAACTAATTTTATAAATAACAAAAGAACTTCTTATTATATCATTTAGTGTTATATAAATAATATCATTTAAAACGTCTAAAATTTTTTTTGAAGAAAAAAATAGCAAAAATAATAGAAAGCATGAAAGAAGTAAAAAGAAATATTTGGTTTCCACAAAAATATTTAAATATAATGATATCTACAATTAAACATTGTTTTCTTCAATTCTCAATGTAAAATTAATGTCGACCGTAACACACCATAAGAGAGTGTTGTGCGTGTGTGTGAAAATACAATACTCTAGAGATTTCTCTAAATACTTTTTATTGTACAAAGCATTACTTAAATAGTATATATTTCATTTCGTACGTCTTATGTATATGTCTAAGCTAGAACCTGCTAAAATAGTGCATTATTACATTATAATTCTATACATTATTCACCGCACGAGCTGTCAGTAATGAGAAATTATATCAGTCGATAATAAATATTTAAGAGAAAAAACTGTAAAGTCGATTTGTACATCAGTAAACCTCTTGCGCGAACTTTGTCTCAGTGTGTAATAAATTCAACAATTTATTATATATTCGTGTCGTAATGCATTTCGTCGTACTTGTCGACATTGTTTTCACTTCGAGACCCACAACTAACAACTCGTATTCCAGCGCCCGTTCGCGGCAAATTTTTAGTATACACAATGTCTCGAGAATATGTCTCTTGGGGAAATTTTTTCTTTTATCTAATAAATACTGATAAAACGTAAAGACTGTAGAAAAATAAGGCTAGGCGTTGTCGAAACGACCGTACTTCTGTGGGGTCGACATATTCACTCGCGATCCACTCACATAGATTCGCATACTTTCGCGCGACGAAACATTTTTACATACACGCGCCAGTATCTCTCACACATATGGCTTCGGCACCTTTTTTTGTTTATATCGGAATTTTTAGAAGTGACTTGTTACTCGATTTTTCGGCATGATTGTCGCCGTGCGTTCGTTCACATTTCCAGTGTATACATTTCTACATCCTTAAGACTATACGTTATTCAACATAAGGCTGGCTTGCTCAGCTCTTAGAGGAACATTGTTTTCTTTTTTATTTTTTATTTTTTAGATACGTAAACCTAATCATTACATCTCGATGTCAAATATGTCTGTATATACACCGGCCGGTCGCTGCGTGTATACGTATGTTATTTGATCCTACGGCATCTACACTTCAGGTTCTACAGGAAATACTGCCTTGTCCATTTTATACAGAACAAATTTTATATATCTTTTTATGTATACACTTATGTACACATATGTGTACACACGTATTATAATTTTCATATATGAGAGCGGTCGGATATAAAAGTTATGAGACTAGTTTTGTGAAAGTTAATAATTTAATTTAAAAAAATCCACATACTACAACACATTCCGCGGTCTCTCAAATTAATTTTTTCAATACACACTTGTTCGAGCGTTCGTTCGTTTGTTCATATTGTTTCACCGGTCATTGAGAAGAAAAATATTTTTGTAAACTGAGAAACAAACAATTCTATTAATAACCTTCTACAAAATCAATCTCATTATTTTAATATCACACAATCCTCGCACGCGTATATATATATATATATCTTCTTTGTCGATATAGTTTCTTACACAATCTCGCATATGTACAATGTGCGCTTTTCAGAAGTAAACTTTGCAGTGGGTGCGGTTGTATAACAACATTTTTCAAAATAAAAGCATAAAAGAGTCTGGTTTTTGCCTTTTCACGCGTACATTATTACGCAGACATACACTCGGTTCTAGTTGATTTTTGTTTTCTTATTTCTGTAACTTTTAACGACAATTTCATTAAACGTGCGCAGCTATTTTATGATACATTTTGTCTGCACAAGGATACGTAACGCACATCAAAAGTTACAGAATAAGAGCCCGGATTCGTAGTCTCTAATACATATACATGTACAATCGATTTTACATCTCTTGACGTTTCATAGATTGTATCAAAAAATGTTTATCCTCCGTCGACCAGACTCTCTTCCAACATTCATAGACGTAAAAACAATTGTTGCACAACGATAACAAGCCCAATTTGATATTAATTTGATATCAATTTGGTACTTGTTTTTATAAAAAAATTAAATTTAAACAGGTTAAAATCTAAACCTCATAATTTAATGCTATGTATATTAAAAAAAAAAAAAAATAAATAAGTAAATATATTAAATTTAAATTTTCCTACCACTTTGCTTTCATTCCAAATATATGTACAATCCTATGGTAATCCTAATAATAAACTTATGAATTTATTGTACTATATTACCACCGGGCAATTGCCACAAAGAGCGTTTAGCAGGGGGCTATTACCGGGAAAATAAAAAGCTATGTTTCTTTGGAAAAAGCCTTCGATATTACATTTATGACACATAGAGTTCAACTGATCGTCGCCTCTTTATCAGACATAGGTCCATCTTAAGGTTTTAATCTGATCCCACTGTACAGGATGTTTCAATCGCATATGGTTTCTGACACTGTTGGGATGAGAGAAAGTTTTGGCGCAGGAAGTGACAGGACAGGTGGGCGAGTCTCTAGGATAGTGATGATCCAAGTGCGCTCTCATATCACTGATGTCTTGCAACGTCCTGCAGCAGAGAGGACACCTGTAACCGTACTGCCGATGATGCTCCTGCAGTAATTTTTGTTGCTTGAAGTCCGGTTGACCGCGTTGATACTTGCTGGTCGTCGTGATCGTCGTAGTTGCCGTAGTGGAAGATTGATTAATTGATGGGTCGTCTTTCAGTAGCGCCTGATGACGGTGGTGAGGAGGAGGGACGGATAGTGGATGATGATAGCGATGCCGATGATGTTGCTGGTATTGGCTGTGGTGGTGGTGGTAAGCCGCGCCCTCTGCCTCATCAAGCTCGTGATCTGCAACCACCACCACACCAACGTTACCACCAGCCACCACCACCGTAATCCCACCCTAAAGCTATGCACGATAATAGTACGCACCCAACCTCGCGATCCGACAATGTTGAACATCTAAGACTATTTCCCAGAGTAAAATTATGTCCCGTCTTATTTGTTATCAATCGATCGATAATTATTATTAGCACGAGAATATTTATAGTTAGACTATTTATAGCTTAGTAGCGCGCTAAAGTGCCAATCTCTATCTGGCTATAAATTTGAAAAAAAACTTAACACGTGTCTGACCGATAATAACAATCACCTCATAACATTAAATGTTTATTTTGTTTATATAAACAAATATATATTAATTTTTGAACGCGTTATTTTCGAAATATTAAATTAACATTTATATAATGCATATTAAATTAATTAGCTTTGTGTATTTAGAATAATCATACTTGCAAAATAGTCTCTCGTTCAGCATAAGAGTTGCGTTATAAATTTGCGTAACAAACTTCGACACTTTCAACGTAGTAGATTAAATATTTATAATAAATAAATATACGTCACATAATTGAGATTATAACAAGATTTTGGCGTATATAACCGGGACATACAAAGATTGTAGTAAACTCGGTTCACAAATCAAATTCTACAAAAATAAAACTGCGTCAAGATATGTCTTGTTGGATAAGTGGTCTTTACTTAAAATGCGGTTGGAAGGAGTCTGCATCGTGCAAGAGAACATGGATAATCAACGCTTCCGTTTAATCATTTTCTTCAAATAGGAAAATAAGGATACGCTATTTAAATTGAGAATCTTTTACTACGAGTGTGTAACTGGAGTTTCGGCGAAAGGTAGGCGGAGGTGTCTGAGGCCTTAAACTCGCAAACATGCTAATCAAATATAAATATATTTTTGATATCAACGCAATTTAATATGCAATTAATTGTAATTGCATCTATATTATAATTATATAATAAATATAATTATGTGCATAATTATAATCAATATATAATTATAAAATTATATGCATAATTATAATTAACTGTTACAAGTATGTGTGATTAAGATTATTCGTTCAATCAACTTTCGTATACTCAATCAGGTTTCGTATACATTTAATTTGGCGCACATATAAATTTCAGGCGCGTCGTCAAAAATTAATAAATCATTCTAACAAAGAAAGAGTTTAAGCTCTAGGACGTGAAAAAATCTGGAAAGCTCGATTTTAATTAATTCCGCTTTGTGATGTATAAATCTCAACGTTTTTATATTAGTAATTTTTTTTTAATTATTATATTTAAGCGCATGTTTCTCGTCTGCTATCGTTACAACATCGATGTAATCTGGCTATTACATTAATTTATTAGTCTCAGTGGAAAACGATTTTGCAAATTGTAGAGTTCACCTTTGTGTTCTTTTCCGTTACGCGGTTTCTATTAATATCTCATTTCAATTCCGTTCTCATCGTAGAAACATTATTAGAACTGTAATCTTTCAAAACGCTAAGTAGTTATTAAAATTATATTTAAACAAATCTTAGATGTAAAATCGTAATAATGATAACCATAATGTAAACGTAAACAAAATAAATATACATACATACAATATATTATATTAAATATATTGTAAAACCACGTGTGTGTTGTGCGTAAAATTAAAAACAAAACAAATTTTTTTAACAGTTTAAGTAAAAATCACTTAATTTAAAACATAATTTAAGTAATTATAAATAAGATAAAAAAATGCTAAAAAAATCTCATAACATTTTGATATCGCGTAAAGTAAGAAAATAAAATGTGTGATGTACAACCAATCGCTCTCGATGATATTTGAAAAAAATGGGACAAAAATTTGAAATATTTGCCGACATTCTGTTCAAATCCCCTGCCGTTGACTACAAAACGTAACTTTCCATTCACAAGCTGAGCTTGGTAAAAGGATTAAACAAATTTCGGGCGGATAATCGGCGTAACGGCAACGATGGCGGCCGCGGCATAAAAACGGGAATCCCCGTTACGACATTGAACAGTCTTATACAGTAGGTGGTAATCCCCGCATTTCCGACCGTGCGATATCGATTAAAATCTTTTGATAAACGGACGAGGATTTAATCGCGTTTTGACGTATTTCAGGACAATTAGCGGATGACGACGACGACGACGACAACGACAACGCCGAACGTACTCATGGCAACGAGGACGATGACTGATACTGCTGTTGTTGCTGTTGCTGCTGTTGAGCGGCGGGATTATTCATACTAGGCCTCTGATGGATGCCGTGCGCCTGCAGCTGATGATTGATCAGGTAGTGCTTGGTCTTGCAACGTTTACCGCATACGTTGCATTGCGGCCACGTTTCCGGCGGCGGCCAGTTCGAGTGGACGTTTTTCACGTGCTGCCGCAGGTTGCTCGGCGACGAGTAGCTACGGCCGCAGTAGCGGCATACAGGCCTAGCGTCGTCGTGGCGCAGTGCCGTGTAGAGATGCCTCGCGAAATTCTCCACCGTCTGTGTGGTATCGGTGGCGGCGGCCGCCATCGCGGCCTCCTCCCTCTTCGACATCGTCGATCCTACAACCAGGACATGCCCATCAGTTGATACTGTTTTCCTTGCTCGCTCTTTCTCTCACGCCAACACTCTCCCGTCTCTTTTCCGCAACTTCTTTCTCTCACACTCTCTTTCTCATTCTCTCTTCTTTTTCTCTCCTTTTCTCACTCATTCTCTGTCTCTTTCTTCTGTTTTCTTTCTTTTTCATGTTCTCGCCTTCTCTAGTGTGCTCTATTGCACTTGCATTCATACTCTCGCTCTCTCACATCCTCTGTCTCCCTCTTTCTCTCTCTCTCTCTCTCTCTCTCTATCTTTGACGTCTTGATCATACACTTTCTCTCTCTTTCTTTCTTCCTATCACGCACACAAGCTTACACGTACATATATTCGCACAAGCATACAGAGACACACATGTCAAACCTTTCGTTCTTTTATTTCTATCGCACTTCCTCTCCGTCGCTCTAAACACACATGTGACCAGTTACACGTGATTTCATTTTCTCCATTTCTCGCTCTCTTTCTCTCTCACTCACTCGCTCTTTCTCTTTCTCTCTCTTTCTTTCTTGCATTATGTGTGTCTTTCTTACTTTCGCTCTCTTTCATTCGCTCCGCACCCTCAAGCACACTTTCACGCCCGATCTATCCGTCTCTTTTCACATCGACACACACTCACTTACTCTGCTTCTTTCTCTCCCTTTCTCTCTCTCTCTCTCTCTCTTTCTCTCTTCCTCTCTCGCTCTCTCTTTCTCTCTTCCTCTCACTCTCACCTTGCTCTAGAGTACATATACACTTGCACACGCACTACTCTCGTACTCTCAGGGCATGCCCGGTTGTAGGATGTTTGGTGTGTTGTTGATGTTGTTGTAGTTGTTGATGTCCAAAATGTAATTCGATAGCGCTAGGCCAAATAACTCGCAACTGCGTTGTTTATCGTTGTAATCTGTTGTTCATTCCTTTTATAATTTCGGTTTCATGCTTGCATAAAGACATGAATGGTCATCATAATCGAACGCATTCTCGCAGGTATGCACGATTATTCTCGCATTTCAGAAGATAAACGTCGCCGTCTCACTCTCTCGCGCCGCGTTTTCTACGCGTTCTTTACGAACAGGTGGAAAATTCAAGAGAGTAAACAAAACATCGCCACTCGTCTTCGTCTTTGTGCACAACAAGCATCGAGAAGAGAGAAAGAGAAAAAGAGAAAGACGCAGGACAATGTGATAACGGAGGATAGAGTGGCAAAAGAGAGAGGGAGAAGGAGCGAGAAAGCATGAAGAAGAAGCCGAGAGAAATAGAAGATCTGGACGGAAGAAAGAGATAAGGAAGAGCACAGAGGGGTGGAGCGAGAAGAAGGGAGAGTAAGCGAACTACGTAAGAACCCTCGTATTGATCCACTCTCTACGCCTCGTTACGACTATCTTTCCTACGAATCTCTAAGCATGAGGCCTCTCCCACTTACGTGAACGTCTCATTACGTGAAAAGGAAGGATGTGTAGATCCATCGTGTGATGGATATTAGATTGTGGAGAGGGACTACTTTTTCCGATCATCCCTTTCCAAATGTTTTATTTTTGCAATACGTTTTAATTATTAACAATCACACGAGAGTTTTATTAATATATAACGCAATAGATAATCGCTTTTCACTTTTTGCTTGCGCTTTGAAAAAATTTACAAAAAAAAAAAAAACAATTTTGGCAGTCATATATTTTTAGGAATTTTTTAGATAACTTTATTTAAAACTAAAACAAACTAACAATTGCTGCAATCGCGTGACGTGTAACTAGAAAAAATACTACTTCTATGTACAGTTTTCAACGAGGAAAAATATTTTCCAGCATGCCAGCAAAAATAATTCCAGACTAAAATTCGATCAACGTTATTTGTATGACCGTACTATTCTATTCTCGAAAGTAACTTTTGCAAGCCGCGCTTATCGTGAACGGTATGCATAAAAGCGGAATACGTAGAAAGATTCTTGATTTATGGTGGATGACAAACCAATTTATTAGAATTACGAGAAGCTGCGTATATTAACGTGCGAACAGCGGGAAACCGTATTCCGTGATGATCAATCGGGTTATACTAGAATTCAGATGGAATTAAGGTCGCATTGCACTACTTCTGTGAAAGTGTTAAGCTTTGCAAATGCTTTTATTTTTATTTTTTTTCTTTTTATCTATTACCATGTAAACTTTTCAAATCTCGAGAATATTTTTAAAAATACTTACACGCAAATAACGTAATCTCATAGTCTCTTGTTTTAAAGCAATTTTGCTAGGATTTATTTAAATTTTAAATATTTCATTTTTTATATAATTCCTTTTATATTTTTGCAAAGGTTTTACTCTCGTAAAATGTAAAACGTACACGAGATTTGTGAAAAAATTCATACTTCTCGTTAAAAAAATTTGTTAATGCTCAATTTAATCGATAATCAATCTTGATTTGAAGTCACTTTTAT